CTTAGTGTTAGTTATTAGGGCCTCCTAAAGGCGACGAATCTTAAGGAGATTATCCTTTCGCTATTGTTCTTAGCGTAGAGTAGCGAGCCTGTTTTAGGTGGCTTCCTAAAGTCTCGCTACTAGCTAGGGCCTAAAGGCTAGTTAGCTATATCGTCGATTAATAATGTTATTAAGAATGTCGTTAACAGGCAATTCTAGATCGTCGCCTAGAACTATAGGTTCTTCGGCAGGCCTAGTAGTAGGCTCTTTAGCAGGTACTTTAGTAGGTGCTTTAGTAGGCACTTTAGTAGGTACTGTACTACTAGCGTTGTTATTGCTAGCGCTACTAGCGGCAGCACGGTTGTTGTTACTTCGTAATAAACCGGCTATTATAATAAGGGGTAGCGCTAATAATATATTATAGCCCCTTATAGTGCGGATATAGCGGAATTAGCGAGTATCGGCCTAATGTGCTTAACTTAGTATAATAAGCCGTATAGAAGGCCTTGCTTAATAATTAGTACGGTTGTTTTAGTAGAATAGTACGTATAGGTCCCGTTCTTCGGGCGCAATATAGTTAAATCGATAGTTTTTCGTAGCTATACCGCTAAAAGCTTGAAATAAGGACTATCTAGCTGCTACCCTTAAAGGGTAGATCGAATACTGTATAAGAAGGGTTATATTAGCAGGTAGATAGGGTAGTGGTGAATTAGTGTAGTATTCGATAGAGATCTAAGAGGAGAGGGAGGAAGGTAGGCTAGTTAGCCTAACGCTAAGCGCCAAGCCCTGCCTAAGGTACTAAGACCCTAGCTTCACTCGGCCTAATTACATACTAATTACGTGTAGCCTCTTTAGCTCTAACAGCTTCCTAGGTATAGGTTTGTATCTACTGCCTCCTAGCCTTCCTTACTACTTTAACCTTCCTTATATACTTACTAGTCTAGTATAGTTACTAGTATAGTAAATGTTTCTTTGCTAGGGTATGCTTTCTAGCTACCTATTTTAGGATTCCTATTAGTTCTTCTACTGCCTTGTTAATGTCCTCTAGCCTTAGTAGGTACTTTGTTAAGAGTTCCTCTAGTTTTAGGTCCCTTTCTAGTTCCTCCCTAATCCTACCCTATTAGGCACCTTTCTAGTTAAGCTTCTCCTCTAGTTCCCTTTCCTAATTAGCTTAGATATTTAGCTCAATCTGTACCGGGAAGTGGTCTAATAATTCTTCTAGTTCCTAGTTAACCCTACATCTTATAATCCTATTCCTAATCTAATATAATGCAAAGCATAGGTCTAGTATACTACTACTTCCTCTTGCCTCCTAAGTAATTAGTCCCTTTAGGGTAACAATTTCTATTCCTTCCCTCTCTAATATATTAATTAGTCTTCCTACTAGGAAGTAGTAAGCTAGGGTAAAGTCTAAGCCCTAGAGGGGATAGTAGAGGTTGAAATCCCTAAGTAGGATTTAGTAGGTGTTCCTCTAGATAACTCTAGGTAGTCTTTCTAGGGTTTTTAGTTAGGTACTGCTTCTTAAGTCTAGTAATAGGTTGTATATATAGTAGACTTAGAGTGTACCTTAGGATGTCTCTACTTAAACTAATATTATGTCCCTATCCTCCTATAGTATAGCCTGCTAGGTTTCTATATCTATCTCCTTACTAATATAGATGTATGTCCTTAGGGCTCCCTAGTTATAGATAATTAGGTAGTATTTTAGGTCTTTAACTATTGCTAGTCTCTTTATATATAGGTTGAGCTAGGGCTCTTAGATTGCAATAATGTAATGTTCTTTTAGGTTTAGTACTTAAAGGAAGCTCCTCTGTACCTTGTCTTTGCTCTTGTTAATATTGTACTATATAATGTTTAGTAATATTGCAATGTTTATTAGGTTTTATCTATATCGTTTCCCTATAAGTTTTCCTTTAGTCTTCCCTTACTTTAGACTAACATTTGACTAAGCTTTGTCTGCCCTGCTTCCTTTCCTATAATGTTAAGGTATCTTAGTCTCCCTAGTTACTAGTAACTCTCTTGTGCTAGTAAGGCCCTAAATGTAAACCTATTATCTTGCCTAGACCTCTTTTATAGTACTTAGCTAGGTTGCTTCTGCACTTAGCTGCCCTAGCTTGTTATATATCTTTTTAGTATATTGATTCTAGCTTCCTTTGCCTTCCTAGCTACCTGTATTCTTACTAGGCATTCCTTCGCCTAAGAGGGGTGTCTTTTAGTATAGCATGCATATCTTGCTTCTCCCTTGTATACTTTATATTCTTTAACCTAGTAATCCCCTATATAATAGGAGTAGGTGTTAGTTATCTTTGTGCACTTAGCTGCTAAGTATCTATAGTGTTGATATTTAAAGCACTGCATTATCCTATAGTTGCTTCTATATATCTCTATTTCTAATCTTTTAAAGTCCTAGAACAACCCCTAGTCTAGCACTATATTAGCTTGCTCTACACTCCCTACCTAGATAATTAGGGAAGACTGCTTCTTAGTCTCTTCGATTTTCCTTTTGATCTATACTACTTTTGTAATCTTTAGGCCTAGGTATATAGCCTAGTTTTGTCTCTATAGGCTCTTAATATCCTGTTCTTCCTTAAAGCTTCTTAATATACTATAGGCTATAATTATGAATTGCTGTTAGGAGACCTTTGCTGTTTTCCCTATCTTAGTTGTCTATTCTTTTTATGTTTCTAGCTTCTTTTTGTCCTGCTCTTATGCTATAAATAGCTTAATTACCCCTTTACCTTCGTTCCTAGCCCTAATTACTTCTTTAACTGCAATTCTTTCTATAATCTCTTTCCCTATAAGTCTTTGGATTTCCTTTTGCTCCTATAGGTCCGTAATATAGACTCTAACTACTGTCCTCGGGGGTTTTAGCGCCTCCTAACTAGCTACTGCCGCCTAGGTGCGGTAGTTTAGGCTTGTCTCCTATTGTTTCTTCGTAATCTTTGCTACGACTGTATTAGCTACCTTTATAATTACGTGGCTTGCCTAGTTGTAGATCGCTTTTAGTCCTCTAAGGAGTTCTAAGATTATTATCCTATATACCCTCTTAGGGGTTCTTCTATCTTCCGCCTTTAGCACCTCCTCTGCCCTAGTATATAGTGCTTTCTATTCGTCCTCCCTTCCTTCTTAACTGTCCTCCCTTCGTCTCTAATTGTTCGCTACCATTTCAATTCTCCTTTCTAATATAATAGTAATCGTATAATAATAGTAATCTTAGGCTTTATATAGAAATCGAGACTAATAAAGGACTTATTCTAACTCGGACCTGCTTTAACTAGGTTAATTATATAGTCGAGAGCCTATTAATAAACGAAGTCGCCGTCGATATCGTTGCTTACGTAGTACTAGTCGCTAATAAACGTATTCTTCGAGCCGTCCGCGCTAGTACGTATTGTAATATAATAAGGCTACTAATAGCTATTTAATTAGCTAAACTTCGCCGCCTACGTATATCTATTCTATATCTCTTTATCTCTCGTAGTAAGGAAGCTTACTATCTTTATAGTAAGCGACCGAGCGATACCCTTCTTAGCCGGGTTAAATATAGTCTATTATCTAGTATAGTAGAAGATCTTAGGCTTATTATTAGAGTTAAAAGAGCTAGGAGTATTAATAGGAATATTGCCGGTAATAAAGCGGATACGCTACTAGTAGTAGTAGTAGCCTCCTATACTATATTAAAGAAAGAGGAGGTAGTAATAGAGGCGGAGGAAGAAATAGCTATTTTACTAGGTATAACGTTACTATTATTCTCTACCGGCGGTACTATAGTCTCCCTACTTTACGTTTCTAAGGGGCTCTTAATTAGATTAGCCTCTATTACGGTAGTCTTCTTACTCTTCTTACCGGCGCTAGACCTACTATAGAGCTACTCTTTACCTACTAAGTCGAGTTAGGTCTTCGTCTTATTAGCGGCAGACTAATAGGCTTCTAGAGAGACTATAATACCTTTTTCTTTAACTTAGAGGTAGCTAACTCGTCGTCTAATTACGCTAGAGGTGTACTAGTATTACTATAAGCTAACCTAGTCGCTATTATTACTAGAATTTAGTAGAAATCGATAGATATACGCATACGAGGCTCGAATAGACGATTATTCTCTAGTTAAAGACGATAGATCGAATAATTAGCGTATTTCTATATATAAATATCTCTATATAGCTTAATCTATAGAGGAGGCGGCTCTACGGGCTATACTAATAAGCGACTTTATATCTATAGTAAGAGCCCTATTAAGTCTCGACTAATAGATTACAATCCTTAACGCTACTATATTGCCCTATATATTATTAAACGCGCGGAAAGTCGTTATAAATTAATATATAGAAATACTACCGAGGATAGCGATTATACCTAGTCTTAGCCCTATTAGTACTATTGTTCTAATCTCTATAATAGAATGTTCTTTATATAGTAAGTGTTTAGGAATAGGCTTAAGCTAAACTATTAGTATTACCGTATTTAGCGTAGAAGGGTATTAATCTATATAATTATATAATTATAATTACTAATTACTAATTACTAATTACTAATTACTTACCTATTATTAGCTACAATTACGACCGTAGGCGCTAACTAGCAAGTGCCTAGTAACTAACTTCTATAATTGCAATATATACTAGCTGCCTCTAACGTTTTTATATACGTTATAGACGTAGAAAATTGCCTCGATTAGGTACTCTAGAAGGAAGCGCTAGGGAGCGGCTTCCTATATATATATAAACTTCTATATATACTAGTCCGCTCCGTAATACGCTACTATCGTCCTTAATAGCCCTAAAGATTCCCGCTCCCTAGTATATAAGAAATAGCAACTCGATACTACTTAACCGCTAGAGAATTTAGAGCTAATCGTCTAGCTCGAGCAAAACCCAAAGCGGCAATCCGCAAGGTGTAGCATAGCAGAAAATGGCTCTTTTGTATCTAAAGAGGTTTACCGGATGTCCCGAGTTGTACCTAGCTCTACACTCTTAGTGCCAATTCGCGAATAATCCGGTCGGGGCGGGATGTGTTAGTCGCGAATGATTCTGAAAGCAATTCGCCATAGAGTGAGATTGTTTGCACATCTTCGATGCTATAAGTGTGACATGTCGAAGTGTCTGAAAAACTGCCTGACGTCTTCAGGATCAAAAGACTCATCCTAGAGCTTCCGAGCGGACAATGGCGTGGACTTTTCGAACACTTGGGATACCCGCCTTACATCCTGACCCGAGGAGATGACGACATGGTGTCTTTCTATACTGATGTTTCTGGTACTCATGTCCGCCTGCGTTGTATTCTCGAAATCAGAGGCTTGCACGGCCACCCATGCCTATAAGTTCAGGCACCTCGAGATCAGCGATGGAAAATGCCAGCGTATATCTCATTCAAGAAGCATGCTGCAGCCAATACATGTGTATAGCGACCATTGACAAGCCGTCGAAGGCAAGAAGAGCCGTATATAAGCGAGCAGGCTTTCGGTATCGACACGTCTGCCATGTGCTTGTCATTAGATGCAGCTTCCAACCATGTACATTCTTACAGAAGCTCAAACTTTTGGCTAGTGGGTCTTGACCATTTCCACGAGGCGTTGAGGTGTTTCCCCTGGACGAAGGATATGCCGTTGGTGAAGACGTAGGATTGCCATGCTGCGAGAGGCTGGCGGACCACGTCGACTCTGCAGGAGTGTGTTGTTTCGAAGCAGAGTAGGAGGAGGATGAGCGATCTGCAACAAAGTAAGCACAAAAGTCCTGGACAGTGTGATAAGTCAGGAGCAGGAAAGCAACGGCAGCACAAGCATATGCCGTGCAGATGTGGCTGATCGCTCCGTGCCTATCACGCCCACTGTCGGCGCCCTGTGTGACGGATTCTCGCCGACATCTTATCTGCGCTCCGTGATTTGCTCCATCTCAAAGGATCGTGTTGGTATCAAAGTCCACGAATCAGACACATAAGAAGTGCAGGTTACATTCTCTAACGAGATTCTTCGGAGCCCGATAGTAGTTCTAGGAAAGGCTTACCGCGACTCTGCGAATCCGATAATATGTAGCCCTATGAGTTTCTTAAGGAATCCCTTTACGATATAAACGCCTATTAGTAGTTAATTAAATCTACGTCGCTTTAGCTAAACAAGACTGTTTACTTAGTTAGATTTAGTTAAATAAGGCCTTATATATTATCGTATATCTATTTATTAAAATAGCGCAATTTAGTTAAGTTTTAGATATTTTTTAGTTATAGAAGGTATTATTTTAGTAGTTAGGGTACTATAGAAACCGGATTTCTAAGCTACCTACTAAGCTTAAAGCCCGAATTCTTAGTTAGCTTTATTTCCTATAGTAATATACCTATACTATAATATTATTATACTAGAATAGTATATATAATATTATTAGTATCGCTATAGCTTAATTAGTAGTCTAAAGATAATAGAAAGTAGTAGTATTATAATACTACGGCCTCCGGAAGCTATTAGCTTAGAACTCCTCTCTTAATAGTATATCGCGATAGCCTACCTTCCGACCTATCCCCTATTTATATATATATACTAAGGAAACTGTTTTACGGTATTTCTAAGCAAATTCCTTACTAAGAGATAGAGCGGATTTTAGTCCGCGTACGATAATAAGCATACTATAGTATACTAAGTATACTAGATATATAGAGTATAGATTTAGTAAAAGAGGGCTATTCTAGTATAATACTATACGAGGCGCTATTCTACTAAATACGAAATAAAATACTAATTAAATAGGCGCTATTTAGTTAAAGGCGTACGTTAACGAAACGTCGCTAGTAATAATAATTTATAAAAGCGATTATAGCTTACTAGAGTAGGTAAATTCTTAAATAGTATATATTAGTATAGTAATTACTTAGATAGGATAATATTAGTAATATTGCCTAGGATTTCTTAAATAGTATAGTTTAGTAATATTAGTATTTATACTAGTATAGGAATTATATAGATAGGAAATACTAGTATAGAAATTATAGAGATAGGACTACCTAAAGGTTTTCTATATTCTATAGTATATAGGCAAATATAGAAATTATATAGCAATTAGTAATACTAGCGACTAGCGATATAAGCGACTAGCGATTAGCGACTAGCAACTAGCGACTAGCGACTATATAGGTAGGCGAAATAGGAAGAATTCTATTCGAGTAATTTCTATACTAATATTTACTATTCTAGTAAGACAGTTCCTATATAGGCAATTACTATACTAATTCGAGCGAAGCCGGATGTTTTTAGGCCGGAGTTAGAGTGTTCGAGGAGCTTGCGACGAGGATACGGAAACGGAGGTCTAAAAACAGTAGGCGAGCGGCGGATAACAATTAGTCTTAGCAGGTGGTTTCTTGCATAGGTAGGTAGTTTCTTACGCAGGCAGGTAGGTAGTTTCTTACGTAGGCAGGTAGTAGCCTTCTACGTAGTAGAAGGCGTATTGCTATCTACTAGCGTAGGGGTTGAATTCAAAGATGCGCCTATATAAAAGCATTCTAGCGCTCTTATTAGTAGAAAAGATGTCCCCCCTACGTAACCGCAACCTTAGGCCCGAAATACTAGATTGTTATCCGCCGCTCGCCTCCGGCTTCGCTCGGCTATCCTAACCTACACCGCGGGTCTACGGATACTTTATAAGTCCTATTTAAGTATTTACCCGTTGCTAGAGATTGTTATATCGCTATCCGGAAGATGTTCCTCTCTTCTAAGATATATATAGAGTTACTCCCTACTTTAAGTTCGTTTGCACTTCTACCGTACTCCTAATATTAAAGATATACCTACGTTACCCTCTAGCTCTTTCGGAGCCGGTCTACCTATTAATCCTTATTATTATACAGGAATAGACAGCACCGCAGTTTCGGCTAATTAACAGTGGTACCTACAAAGTAAAGCCGAAACACTCGCTAATTATACCTGTGATGGAGCAATAGAAACTTCGAAACGCATCGTGAAGAAGGTGACGTATTCTTCATCTCCTCTGCTACCTATCCAATCTGTCACCAACAGCTCAAAAGTTTGAAGCATTATTACTTCCGTACCTCTCTCTCTTTTCTTACGCCATACCAAACCAACCTCATCACGAGCTCCATCTGAAAATTCGAGGCGACACATTTACTGTATTAACTTATTACTGTAACCCTCAGCATGCTTTCATGCACCACTCGCTTCTTCCGCTTCCTTCGTCTGCAGATTGGGACTTGGGAATCGATCTACGTGGTCTGCTTAGACCGCTTCCCTTCACTCTAGCGGGCCCGAATTTTTGCGAGCTCTGCGCATTCGGCAAATCTTTAGCATCGGGTTGAAGTTTGAGAGGACAGATATTGAGAGGGTACATGGCAGATACTTTAGGTCGGAGCAGTCAGTCCCGGTACAGGATATAATGCAGGCTGTGTGCTGAGAAGTATATAAGTTAGTGGAAGAAGGAGATCTTCATCGTCACATAACAGCTCTATAATTTAGCCTTCCTGTATGCACCACAGGACGCTTTGTTCTGTCTATCATGAATCGTAACATCTAATAATAGTCTGTATAAACCGCAAAAGCGACTTGAACTACATCTATAGCCTCCCACTTCCCACTCCTCGCTAAAACACGCACATCAAACTTGCAGGCATTCTGCTGGGTATATTCCAATTTCTCCTCCCACCTTTCGCCATTACTGCAGATTTCCAGAACCTCTAGAGCCGCAGACGAAAAAAAAATCCGCTGCACAATCATTCACCGTCATAGTCATATGAGTTCATCACTCCCACTCCTCCCCACCTCCTCAATGACCTTCCTAACCTCATCCTCCTCAAACATCGGTCCCATCCCATCACATCTCGCCATTTTCTTCAAACGTTCGCACACTTCTCCGATATCGACAGCGCCGGATAAGTAAAGAGGATGTGATTGCAAAAGGTCCCAAGTTGCGCTTGCGGAAAGAAGGTGGCTCTCACTGCTGCCAGGTGAGCTTCCGTGTTTGATAGGTGAGGATGAAGATTCGGTGGAGAAGAGGCCGTTTCTCAGACGTGTGGAATCTAGACGTGGACTTGTGGAAGGGGAGGAGGTCTTTGCTTGGCGTGATCCGGGTAGGAGACTTGGATCGTCGACGAATCCGGGAGCATGGTGTCTCGTCGGTGATGAAGATGCTGTTGCTCTCAAGATTTCGTTTTCGGTCTCGGCTCGCTGGAGCATGAGTTTGAGCCGCTCGTTGTCAGATTGTAGTGAGGATGTAGTAGTGGTGAGGAGATTGAGCTTTGCCTCCAGATCTCTAACGTGCCTTTCTTTTCGTTCCCGGAATGCGCGTTGTCTGGGAAGAAAGATCAGCACAATTAATAAAACGGAGACATGTGACAGAACTTACGCTGCTCGATTTTGAGCCTTCCGTCTTGATTGCGCTGGAGTGAGTGTGTCTTTCTCCTCGCTACTGCCTCGCCTGTCCGTTCGCTCGTGTTCCATGTCCATAGCTATTCCACTATCCACGGACCCATTGGGAAAAGATGAGAGCTGTTGCGACGGTGGTGATTGCGAACCTGCCGCATTCGGCTGAGCTGTGAATCCTGTACCGAGTGATGGATCGAAGTTGTAGTCGAATGATTCGAGTGTGAAAGAGCCTGCATCGACATGCTCCAAGCTCTGCTGTTATGATTAGCCTGCTTTCTTTAGAAATGTCTGTATCAAGCGCTTACGGGAGTAGCTCCAAGCCCGTCATTGCTTGCCTGTGGAAGGCCGCCCATCTCGGCGCCGAAGCCCATGTATTGGTAGGGCTGCGGCGCAGACGCAAAGTAGTTGTAATCCATAGACTCCATGTTGATGTCTATGGAGCTTTAATGGTTACCTGATGCCTGTGAAAGCGATGAGCTTCAAGTGAGGTAGGGCAACGGGAGTCGTAATGTGTAGGACGTAACAATCACAAAGGGCGGAAGGAAGCACCACCATATACAAGTTCAGCTCAGAGGATGAAGTTTATGTCGAAGCTGTGACATGCAACGTGCACGGCGCTGAAGAGGAAACGCGTCTGGAAAGCTGCAGATCACGGGGAAGCATTTTGAGAGGGACGGACGGGTTCGACGGAGCCATCCTGTTGGTGCCTACGACATGCTGCAGGCCCTGAATCCTTCGGCCAGGTGCCAGGAAAGCTGAGACGATGTTTGGTCGGCGTGCAGGATAGCAGCCACGCTGCGAGAAGGAGAGGGGTAGTAGTGCGGTGTGCTGGAACCATGGGGACGAAGGATGTTAGCGTTACCCACGAGGCGGCCGGTTTTGGCGACCTTCACAAGAAAGACATATGTCTCGCTGGTCGAAAGGCAATATGCTTATCGCGAAGTCAGTGGCCTCCTGCTGAATACGTAGACGGCCACGACGGGATTGGTGGCGCAGCGGACCATCGGCCATCTAGAGACCGATATCATCATGCGGGTAGAGCGGTATCTGTGGTCGTTGCACATCATGGCCTTGAGAAGTAGCAATGTTGTCAGTGACACTCATCAGCATGTGTATACATGTTTCTTGTCCATGATCGAATTTTGAAATCTCAATGACGAGACTGCGAAGTGATGGATGTGCGAGTGGCTAGAAGCGATAACCCGTCGGCATATCCGCATCAGCTCGCCGTGAAACAAGATTTTCTGCGGCTGGCGCACTAGTGGAAGGAGTTTCCGCCCCATCCAGGGCATTGTATCTTCAAGGCGCTGGTAATTGCCGGCCGCATCGTGAATGGGAGGAGGCTTCATAGAAACGCGTCTTGTCTGTGGGCGAGACACTAGAAGAAGACTTAGAGGACCAAATACCGTAGCATAGAGATGCAAGATCAGCAGCGTGCATCCGTAGCAGGAAATCCTGGGTTGGTGGCGTGGAAGTCTGTGTTCTCTTTCGCCAATTCAAGGTCGTGACTCTGAGTAACACGATAATAGGGACCTTCAGAAGCCACCAATTTCGCGCAGTCGGGGAACAAGGTGGATGCGAAGGTTAGTACCGCATCCTTCGACCGCCGGTTTGAATAGGGGTGAATTATTAACTCGTAGACCTTGGACCGTGCTTTTGAACGCGCGCGTTCAAAAGCATATAAGACACTATATTTACGACTCGCAGGGGTAGTAATCCTGCCTTAGCTAGAAGAAGTTAGGTATTAGAAGAATATAGAAGGTAGCTTAAACCCTATCCGGCTTAGCTTATTAAAGGCAAATTGGCTCCTACGATAGCGAGGTAGAAAGTAGCTATTAGGTCTTCGAGATAGCAGTACGAGAGGGCACTAACTTATATATATAAAGGTCTAGGTATGTAGCCGTTGTTGTAATTAGTAATAGGGGCTACTAGGGGGGCGCTAAAGGGCTACTAGATAGAACCTAAATTCGAGGATTGATTGCAGAATTTGCAGTATATCGTCTATAGGATAAGAGCTACCTATAGAAGTAGGAGAGGTCTTCAATTGTTAGTATAACTACCCTTGTTCTCGATTATAGCTACTATAGACCCCCCCTCTTATCCCTCTCGTATTATCGACCTAGGCTCCGGCTCTTCTATACTAGCCTTTACTACTCTAGTCTACCTACTACTATAGGCACCGCCTATACCTATTCGAGTAGCTCTTTAAGGTAACCCTCTTTATATAGATGTCTCTTTAATATAGCTATATTCAGTCGGAAGTCTATTGCCTCTAATCTAGTCGGTTGTTAAGCGGCTACTATATAGTCGCTCTATGTCTATAGCAAGCTTATTAACTAATTCAAGCTATAATAGCGATAGCGAGAGCAGTGTAGCTACTAACTAGACACCAAATTTAACTCTACCGAGGCCGGTTATTTAAAGAGGTATAGACACCTCTTTAACGGCTTACCTCGAGCGGTAGCGGTAATAACAGGAACAATAACAGGCTATAGTCTAATAGCCTATACTAGATTTGAGCGACTCTTAGCCTTCTATAGCTACTGAAGACTCTTAGTATAACTTTAACCTACTAGAAGGCGTAGAAGACGACTACAATCGAGTTAATAGCGATAGCCGCATATCGGACGATTTTGCCTTACTAATTATTAAGCACTTCGAGGCTAATGCTAGCTATTATGTAGAAGGTCGGATCCGAGATATAGTTAAGCGCTGTTAGAAGTAGTGTAACGACTATAAGCCTGCTAGACAGCGTGCTATTAAGGGCATAGATATACTTATTCGTAGGTAGATTGCAAAGCGAGTTGTCGAGTATAGAGCGCTATTAACGGCCTCCGGTATAGTTGCTAAGGACTCCGAGTTCAAACAGATACTTAATCGCTTTAAGGATACTATATTGCTAAACAATAAGAAGCTCCGCGAGAAGCTTCTTACGCCTAATAAACTGCGTAGTTATAAGACACTAGCTTAGCAAGTCTAAGACAATATGCTCCGTATTATATCGTAGCGAGTCTAAGAACCAGTAGCGTTTGTAAGTCTATCGACACCGAGTCTAGTTATAGCTCTATTAACGCTAGCACCAAATCCGGCTCTTTCTAATCCCCCTTCGACGCTATATATAACGCGCCGCCGCTTGGATATCGATAGTAAGAAGCAGCTAAATAAGGAGCGGTTATTAAGTCGAGTATTAGAGCCATTTCGAGAAGCTATTACTGCGTTAGCAAATTAACTAAGAGCTAACTATTATTCCGAGGTAACAAATAACTACTATCTAATCCGCTGAATAGACGATATCGACAGCCGCTCTAAGAAGCGTATAAAGCTAATGCACGCGTCTACGGTACGTCAATTTAATGAGCTAAGAGCCCTTCTTATTAGACGTGTTAGATACGTTCCTCTTGTTCCTTCGCAGTTATCGTAGGTTACCGACTTTAGCCTTAACGAGAACCTCGTTGCTAACGTTATAACGCCGATAGGACATAGTAACGACGGCTACGATAGCGATAGAACTGTCTTGTAGTTGTTAGAAGCGTTAGATATTGGAAATTAATAGCCGCTAGTGTGTGGATATTCGCGTAATCGAGGTGTTAGACTTAAGCGAAGAGGACTAAATCGGGTATATCGTATATAGTGTTCCGAGTGCTCGTTAGTTCCGGAATTGGTAAGAAACTTAGTAAGAGGCGAATTCTCTAGTATAGTTGTTACTACCTTCGATACTATTAGTTATAATACTACAGTTCTGTTAGTTACTAATAGTGAATTTCGAAGACTTCTAGAAATTTCTACACCCCTTACTATTCTCTGCCTTTACATCTTGCTAAGATACTAAGAAGCAAGGTATATAGCTCTCGCTATAGTAAAACAGCTATCCGAAGCTCTTCCGTATCTAATCCGAGTATTAACAAGAGGATAGGGAAGAGTTAGATATTATCTCCTTACTAATCTATCGCTATTCTTTACTATTCTTTATTACTATTATTAATAACTACTTCCCCTATGTCTTCTATATTACTTCTAACCTCTAATCTATTACTAGAAGGGTTTGTACGCATTAGATCCGGCATTTCCACACCTACTAGCGGCATAGGTAGCAGCTTAGCACCTAAGTAATCTCTAATGTCCGGACACCTTAAACCGTAGTGCGTAGCGACCTTGTTTCTACGATAGCAAGATAGGCAATTGGTAAGTAATACTGCTACTAAATAGCAGGACCCTATCGGCATTAAACCAGTCCGCAGCCCCTTCTTATACTCGAAGAATAGCTAGTTGTTAGTTACCTTACTAAACCCCTATTCGACCGACTGTCGTAGAGCCGACTATTCCTTCGCAACCTGCGCCTATATAGGGTTACGATAGCCGCCTCTCTTCGACTTCTACGATCCAATAATGCTATCAACCTGTCTATATGCCGAGTTACTAAAGAGAAAGAGCTTGTCTTCGATAGGGTCGTTATTAAACAACTTATGCTATACCTAGTTAATATTAGACTCGCGTACTAGTCGACCATCGCCGTAAGAGCTAGGATAAGGGCTATTAATAAGCAGTATTCTATCCGGTAGCTGTATACCTTAGAATTTGAGGCTATAGAAGTGCTTATAGCTATTATAGAATACCCTCTAGTTGCGACTAGGTCTCGCAATCTTCCTTACAGTACTATCTATATATCCGAAAACACTAGACACTCTAACTGATAGATATAGCGACTCCGCTAGGCTCCGGAGATATTGCTTACTAAGCCGCCTCTTGTTAAAGAATAAGAACGACTTCTACCTTAGCGCTAGGCTATATACTACCGCATTAAATATATAACTCAATATAGTAGCTAAATAGCCAAACTTCTTATCTATATCCTTCTAGAAGCCTAGACTAGACAGCCGCTTACAGACAATATAAAGCACCGTTGTAGGTAGCAATTTGAGGCCAACTAGCAACACGATTAAACTAATATCTAATAGGTCTACTAACTCTATTAATTTAGGCCTTATAAAGCGGAAGTTACCCTTAATATTAGCCTCCGGATAACTAAGAAGGTCGAAGCGCTGTTTATTGTATATTCTCGCCGGTTCAAATGGTCGGTTACGCCTTAACTAGCGGTGCTACTATTTACGTATAGATTTACCCTCCCTCTACGCCTACCGGTTCTTATTACTACTATCTTCCTTAAGGTATTTACTCGCAATAGCAACGACCGTTACAGTAGCTGTAGTAACTACAATCGCTCTAGTTTCTATAGTTTGGTGTACTACACTGTCTATAGGTCTATAGCTAAGGTCTATACCCCTAGAAGGTCTAGAATAGGGGCTCCTTACTATACTAAACCGCTTTCAATTATATACCAATTAGCCTCTTCTAAAGGTCCGTAAAAAGCGCCACATTAATCCTTCACCTAACGGTCACGAGCTAGCGCTTATTTAGAAGCCGGTAGCTAGGTTGACCATTTCTGAAGGTCCCTAATGCCTGTCCACACATGGCAGTCCTGTGAAATGCTCCTTGTCAGCCATCGATATCAGCCTGTTGTGAATAATGTCGCACAGGATCAAAAGGGCGGGTGAGATCGCGTAGGGCTGGTTATTCATCCACCAGTCCAGATGACTACTGGAATAAAGACGGAAGACAAGACTCCGCCAAGCAATGGCCAAGCCGCTGCGGTCCGCAATGTCGCCGTCACAGGCCACTTCTTTCACCAACGCTCTTGATCGGAGGCAAGGTGTGCACATGTCTGCAGTAGCTTTCTCGAATGAAGCTGCTGAGCTGCAAGTATCTCATCTCTCGAGTGAGGGATAGCCTTACGGCATGGTAAGCTAGATAAAGAGACCGACGTCGTTGTTGTTCTGCGGGCGATCTCGCCGTGTGCACCCCGAAGTACCCTATACTGTAGCTCATTCGATATGGGATGTGTATGCCGTGTCAGCCTTGTTAGACCCTTTCACGCCCAGCCGATAGACGATCAGAATGTTACTGTTGACTGCGAGTTCGGTAGGAACGCCGAGCTCGGCCGACTTGAACGCCGGCATAGCCATTTACGGAAGCACCGTGTCTTCGAGTTGACAGAGTTTGGGCTCAAGGACGGTTTGAACATCAAATTTGGGTGATGCATATAAGGAGGACAGAGTGGGTCTAGTCGGAAATTAGAGATTCCGCCGGGGAGCCGATTTCTTAGCCTTCTATACACATTTCTGCTCTTCTAGTAAACAATCTATTTTGCACCTCGTCGTCGCTCTCTCTATACCTTACTATCGCTATCGCTACTCTTACTATCGCAATAGACACCTATATTAAAAGCCTCGTAGACGCCGCAACTAGCTATATTAAAGGCCTCGAAGAAGCTATAGCCTTCGACTTCGCTGCTACCGCCGCCGAGCTCGAGAAGGTAGTATTTAATACGCGGTTTAACGCGAATAGAGACATTAAGAAGTATAGTATTAATAAGCTAATAATAGCGGAAGATATAGCGGATATCTTTAGTAGAATGCGGCTTATTAAGCAAGACGATTTGCTACTCGACTTAGCTAGTCTCGACGGTAGTAAAGAACTCGACGGTAGTAAAGAACTCGGCGGTAGTAAAGGTAATAGTAGTAACGGTAGTAACGGTAGTAAAGAAGATACTAAAGGCGAGATTGTAAGTAATAAAGAGCTAACTAAGAAGAAGAAGGCTTCTCGTAGCTATAACGAATTTAAGAGCCGCTAGCGTAGTTATTACTTTAACGCGTCGCAAAGGTTAGTAGTACCTATTCTAGCTAATATAAAGGGCTACGCCCTAGGTAGAAAGCGCTAGCCTTAGGCATTCGGCCTACGCGACTCTAACCTACTGCTTAGCGCTTAGCGTACCGTACAAAACTATTCGGATTTACGTAGATAGACTTAGCTCTTTATCGAACCTATTAAGTCTTATATCTAGTATCTGCGTACGCGTTACTTACCCGTAATATTAGGTTCGATCTTTAATATAGGAAACGCTAAGGTTTATTAGGAACCCGAGTAAGATAGCTAGGGGAACGCTACCCCTACCGTACTAGAGATAACTAGGGACGAGATTTATCGTACCTTCGAGAGTCTCTATACTAGATAGTAGACGATAGAAGCCTAGCTATAAGCTACTCGTTCTACGCTCTAATACGCGGAAGCGTCTCGCTAGCCCGGGCCTCCCGAAGCTAGTTTAGTACGAGACTAGTCTACGAACGAGATCCTAAAGGGACTACTAGAAACTCTCTCGGCTTCCGGCTAAAACGTAACGGCATCCCGCGAGTAGAAACTACTATCGTAGGATAGGAAAGCCGAGTCGTTCCGGGACTACCTACTACGACTAAGGAGTTCGTACTAAGTTCGTTCCGGGCTAAAACTAAAGCTCTCCGAAGATTACTACTAGGATACCGTATACGATACCCTACCGGCAAAGGAACGCGCTAGGATGCGCTACTTCTAGGAAAGAGGAAGCCTTACGAAAGGAAAGGACCCCGAAGCTTTCTTCTAGTAACTCGAGGACGTCTTCGCGGATAGCAACGAAGCTATAAAGGCGCTAGAGCAACTCTAAGCCCTAAGGTACTCCTAGGGACAACCTTAGTACGACTACTAGCTAGAATTCGACGGCCTCCTACTAAGCGTAGGCGGAGACCGTTAGATAGACGATACGAAAATCGGTTATTTAAAGAATACCTTCTCGAACGCGGCTAAGACCTATACTACCGCCGTACTAAAGATTAAGGATTACTACCTCTATACAGAGGAGGTCGAGCGGATTATAACGAACCTCGAGTCGATAGATTAGTTCAAATAAGCTACGAAACGCTAGTAAGAAAGGAAGAAAGAAGTAGCGAGTCCTACGGTTATTATTCCCCCCTATACGGCCCCTACGGCGAACCCGAAGGTCGACTCTAATAGAGACGTAGTTATAAATCCCGCTTAAACTAACGCTTTCCGTAGAAAGAACCGCGGAGCCTAACAATCGACGGCGGGGAAACCTAGGGCTAAATAGGTCGACTCTATAGAAAGAGAGAAGCATAAGGAGAAAAGACTCTACTTCCGCTACGGAGCGAGCGGATACCGCATTCGAGATTGCCCGTACGCCCCGCTAGCTTAGCCTACTAAGATTAGTATCGCCTCCGTATAACCTATTCTAAAGGATACGGAAGAATAGTCGGACTTAAGCAGTTCCGACTCGGGAAAAGAGTAACTCCTACTCGTAGTTAGGAGTCGGGAGTAGATAGAGTACGGGCAAAGAAATAGGAAGAAGTTAAAAAGGACATAAACGGGAATCTTATATATACCGATATAGTCCTCGAAAATAACGTCGGAACTTCTACTCTTATCGACGAAGGATACTAGTATTACGCTATAATTAATGCGGGCCTAGCTAAAGGCCTCGGACTTAGCTATATTAGCCGTAAGTCCCGAGAAGTAAAAGGAGCGTCTACGGTAATATAAGACGCAAAAATTATAGGAGTCGTCGCCTTCCGAATAGAAATTAATAGATTCTAATAGACGGTATACGCTTACGTCGTACCGGGATTGGCTTTTCCCCTTATCTTAGGGAACCTATAGAAGGCATATAATAAGGTCCGGACTGCGCCTAAAAAACGACGGTACTACTACGGGAGGGCTTAGTATTAGATTAAAGAAGGGCGCTATTACCGCGAGGTCGATACGAACGGGAACATCGCTACGATTAACGCCGTAAGAAGCCTACTTACCGCGACAATTGCCGAGGACATTAAAAAGGCCCTAAAGACGAAGGAATATCCGACGATCGAGAAGCTAAAGAAGAAGCTACCCCTAGAGGTTCGCGATATAGCCGCGCTGTTTTATTAAAAGGAAGCCGATAAGTTAGCGCCCTATCGCCCTAGTATCGACTATACGATAGAACTCTAGGAGAAACTAGACGGATCCTAGCCTTAACTCCCTTAGGGTCCGCTCTATAGTATATCGAAACAAGAACTCTTAGTCTTGTAGAAGTCGCTAGACGAGCTCCTAAAGAAGGGGTTTATAAGACCGGCGAACTCCGAAGCGGTAGCGCCCGTACTGTTCGTTAAGAAGCCCGGGGGAGGACTACGGTTCTACTACGACTATAGGGCGCTTAACGCTCTAACGAAGCAAGATAGATACCCCCTCCTACTAATCCCGGATACTATAAGGAACCTAACGGAGGCCCGGTAGTTAACTAAGGTTAACGTAGTCTCGGCCTTTTATAAGATTAGAATAGCAAAAGGATACGAGTATAAGACGGCCTTCCGGACGAGGCTAGGCTCGTTCGAATAGCTAGTATGCCTGTTTAGTTTGTCCGGAGCCCCGGCTATATTTTAACGGTATATTAACACTCTCTTATAGGAGTATCTAGACGACTTCGCGTCGGTATATATAGACGATATAGTTATCTACTCGAGCGGGTCGAGGGAAGACTATTTCCGTAAGGTAAGAGCGGTACTTAAGAAGCTTTAGAACGGAGGCCTTTACCTCGATATTAAAAAGAGCGAATTCGCCTAGAAAAAGATTAAGTACCTAGGGTTTATCGTCTACGCCGACGGAGGAGGAGTATTAGCTAACCCCGAAAAGGTAGAAGCCGTACGAAAATAGATAGTATCTAAGACCTAAAAGGAAGTTCGTCGTTTCTTAGGATTTACGAACTACTACTATATATTCGTACCGAACTATTCTAAGATCTCCGCGCTATTAACTACGCTTACCGGTAAGGGAACCCCGTTCGCCTAGGGAGAAGAATAGGATAAAGCGTTCGAGACACTAAAGGACAAATTCTACCGCGCCCCGGTACTTGCCTAGTAGGACCCGTCCCTCCCTATCTTCCTTAAGACGGATTGTAGCGGGTTCGCGATTAGAGGCGCCCTTATCTAAGAAAAGGCGGGAGTCCGCCGACCGGTAGGCTTCTTTTCGAAGAAACTAAACAAGGCGGAGATTAATTACGATATCTACGATAAGGAAATGCTCGTAGTCGTGTCTAGTATTAAGTTTTAGGACTCCGAGCTAAAATTATATAGCCCCTTTACGATTTAGACGGACTATAAGAACCTAGAATACTTTATAGTAAAGCGCTAGCTATCCGAAAGACAGATCCGATAGTAGGAAGAACTAGCGAAGTACTAGTTTACCCTAGTCTACCGGCCGGGAATCGAAGCTATCCTACTAGATATATTATCGAGGAGAGAATAAGACACGTTAGGCTAAGACGACAAGCTTTCGAGGTTCCGGAGATTCTTAGAACCGGACCTCTCTCTAAACTAGCCGGAAAACGTCTAGATTTCTAGTGCTACTATCCGTAGCTTCCCGCGTATAACGAAGGCGACCCCGTTATCCCTACTCGCGAACGAAACGGAGCCCGCGTAGCCTTCGCCGGAAAGCGCTAAACTATTCTAGGACCTAGAGATAAACGATATATAGAAGAGTATTATCGAGAAAGATACGGTATACTAGACGGTAGTACAAAAAATCCGTAAGAGAGGCAGAACATTACAACTAGAAATTAAAGCAAAAATTCAGATCGGGGATTATATAATAGACCCTAAGGGGTTCCTTCGCTACCGCGGCAAGCTCTAGGTTCTAGGAGCCCTAGCGACGACGGAAACCGAATACAAAGACATAGGGGCCGAGGAACTATAGCAGGATATACTACGTACGAAGATTATCTAGTCGATCTACGACTCGCCGCTCTACGGCTACCCCGGCCGGGATTCTACTACTTCTATACTAGGTCGCGACTTTTACTAGCCGCTATAGTCGAAGCAGGTACGGCAATTCCTACGGAACTACAACTATTATAGACGTAATAAGGTATAGAGGGAATACAAACACGGCCTCCTAAAACCCCTACTAGTATCCGACCGTTTCTTCTAGGAAATCTCGATAGACTTTATAACTAACCTACCGGAGTTAGATAGGAACCGGTATCTATAGGTAATTAAAGACTGCCTAAGCAAATAGATCGCCTTTATCGGTACTCCCTCTATAAAAGTAGAGGAATACGCGGTTTTGTTCCTAAAATACTAGGTTAGGTATTACAGACTTCCTCGTACTATTACTAGCGATAGAGGTACGAATTAGACGAGCACTTTCTAGAGGGAGATATATCGACTACTCGGCGTAAAGT